GTATCTAATAAATCAACAGACATTTACTTTTATAAAGTATTCTAAATAATTAAACTGGCTATGTATTGAAAATAACATCTTTTCTTTCCTGCTCTCATTTTTAAACTTCTAAATACGATTTTCTTTAATTAGTTTGCAAATTAAAGTTTTTGGGATGGAGAACGTATCCAGACACGTCTCTCACTTTCTAAGCGCTCAAATCCCTTCTCCCCGAAATATTTTAGGTACTGCAAACAACTCAAATTTATAGAAACCATTGGTTTTTTTTTCAAAACGACATCGATGAATGCCATATTTTATGAAAGTAAAGCTGTCATAGAATAAGAAAAGCTCTTCATTTTGAAAATAACATTTGGTTTATGATGATATTGTCTGCATATAATTCTTCTGAATTTTTATAATTAATACATTTGAAATATTTTTTTCTTTCTGAAAAGTAAGGATTTACAGTTTTAAGTTTTTCCTCTTTGAATTCGAGAACAAGGCATCGCAAAGAAACTTAATGCTTTATACTTCAGCGTTGTATATTTATAATCACAAAAGTCATTTCCGAAATTCTTTTTCAATATTTTATATACCCCAAAGGCAAAGCAACAGATGAATGACCTCCCATATGTTCTCAACTCCTGATAAAAGCAAAGAGTGACCCAAAGACAAAATTTCCTAAAAACCCATTAGAAAATTAGAACACTTTTTCTTCATTTTTTTTTTCAGTCTTTTTCTCAGAGTAGCACTATACTCTTTTATGAAAAGATTCTTCCCTAATGGCCAAGTTGTTTTAAGAACGACACGTTTCTATCTTCTTTTTTATGATCCGTAAGGATTTATGAAGAACATTTTTATTTTATTTTCCAAACTCTTCCAGTTGTACTCGAGCACGGTTACAGCGAAGGGGCAGGACTGAATAATGAGAGTATTTGTTCGAGTCTAAATCGGTATTTTATGAATGAGTTTCATAGTGATAGTGGGCAATCGCCGCAGAGTAGCAGATTGGAAGGAGATAGAATGATGAAGGGAGGAATTGAAGAGCTGAGGGAGGGGGATGATTTCTTTGATATAATGGAAGAAAGATGTAACGTCGTATTTTTAAGAAGATGAGGAATATTTCGCTTATATCTCATTTCTTTCATGCGTGTTTCATCTCAAGGGATAGCAACATAAAAGAAACTATCAACTTTCTATACATATGGGGAGTTATATTTATTCATTTTGAAATATAAATAGATGTTCATATACAGTACATATATATACTGTCGATTCTTTATATCACGAGGAATATCCTTGTCGATTTACAAAATTAGACTTTCAGCAAGAAATCAGATTTAAGAGGGAATGAAATAGGCATTGTATTTATTTCTTATATTTATATTCTTTAAGCGAATGTTTAAGTTGCTTCTGTGATACTTTCAAAAATCTCTGAGTATTACTTCTCTTTTCAAGTAAATTCCATAAATTTGTTTAAAGTCTATTATATACAGTTCAAGTAATATTATGGTATTAACTATCAGTTATGAATATTACTCTTGAAATATTGTAGCCTTTATATTTTAGACAAGTGTAACAAAATATAATGTGCATAACATGAATAGCATATAACAATGAATAGCGATTATTGCTCTTTGATTTGTTTTTCTAAATCATCATTTCCGAAATCACCATTTCTTTCGAGTAACCTTTTATAAGATTTGTATATCCTTTCCCTTCATAAACTATGACTACCACACTCTTCTCTAGTATTCTCATAATATATCTTATGGCGTCTCGTAAACTAAAAAGGTTCTAGAAGACTGTGTGAGGAATTATCTGAAGTCTTAAGACAGAAGTCATTCTTACATTAGACAAAGTCCTATCAGAGAAGGGTGTTTAGACAACTTTTTTTCACTCAATATCCTCACAGATTGGCTCCAACTCGTGCTTACAGAAGCGAGCACATTTGGCTTAACTAAAAAATGCAAGGATGAACTTAACCCTTTGCGACACGTATATTTAAAATATATTTTAATCTTTAAAAAAATGCCTTAGAACTAGTCAGATTAACTTACTTAAGTGCCTTTAAGGCTTGAAAAAAATTCTGCGCTTTTATTTTTTACGAGGGAAGGTGGGATGCCGTTTGTCCCACCATGCAACTAGCACATGTCTTATAGCATATTGGTGTATAGCAGAAAAACAAAAATCATATGTGGAATGAATAAACAAAATAAAGCGTGCATTCTAAAATATTCATAATAAACACACTAAAATGCATTTTGTACTTATTGCATATATGCATGACTTGTAAAATTTTGCATATGCACATTTTGCATATATATATTTAATATTTTTAAATTTTTAGGAACAAAAGAAAATATTTCTTGAATATTATTTTAAGATTAAAATTTGATACTCGTACATATGATACTAAATAAAATATTAAAATTGGCACTTGATTCAAAAACATTTATATATGAATAAAAGTCATTTTTCATGAAACTTTGAAAAACATGTTGTTTCATTCTTTTGTAAGCATAGAGGCACTTCACATGTTTCACAGATCCAAAATGTCCGTCGTTCTTCTTTCGATGTGCTGCAATATGCACATCTTCTCCTGCTCGTTCTCTTTGGCGTGTGACTTAAGCATTTTTTATTATGGCATTTTTTATTATTTTGGCATTTTTAGTTTATTTTTATTTTGACATTTTTTAGTCTCTTTTCTGGTTGTACGAACGGATTTTTAGTTTTTATTTGAACTGGGATTTCAGTTTTCTTTTCAGCTCTTTCTTGCCTGCAAGTGCCATTAGACCTTCTATAACTGAGAGAAGAAAACCTTTCATTGTTTATACATCATGATCGGGTTCGCGAACAAACTTGAATAAATGCGTTTACTATACTCGCATCTAAAAAGAAAAAAAAAATCATGTGCCACCATTTCTTGCTTTTGCTATTTCATATAGTCCTTTCAGTTGATCAATCAATCGACATATCCCATATTCTTATTGTATGAAATCATGCTGTTTGGGCACAGTACTTTTTTTGTCTTTCCATCTAGTTCTTTTCTATTAATTTCTTTCATTTCAGTTGCCTTTTCCAAGCAAGACAGGATAGAAACGGATCTTTTATCCTTCAATTTTCTGCAATAAATTGAATCAATTGCTAACTGAAAAGTCTATATATTCCTCTCGATATAAATTTGTCTTCTTTTAAATTTTTGGGAAGATACTTCCGACCCATATTTACAGTTTACAGTGCCACATGCATAGATGGGTCTGTGTCTTTAAAAAGTGAAATAAATTATAACTACTTCCCTTTCTTCTTCAGCAATAACTTCAACCTCAGTTTTTCTCTCCTGCATTTCAATTTCATCTGAATCAGAACTGACATCTGAAGCATTTGAGTCGCAATCGGATGGCAATTCAGCAAAAAGATCCAAAGCTTCCTGAGTTGTTAACTTTTTTCTAGACATTTTAGCACATCAGAGTATACAACGGATGTAAAAGCGCGCACAATCACGAAAAAAGCAGATGCAAAAAACAAAAAAAATAATCGTGAGTGCTGCCATCTATTGATCGGAAATTCAAGTGTGTCGTGGGACAAATTTTAACCCACTTATTTCAACTGCAAAATTAATGTTATAAAATATTGAATCCAATTAAGATTTTTGAAAATAAAATACCTTTGAATATTAAAATGAATCATACATATCATAAATTGTATACCAAAATTTTTAAAATATTGAAAAATGCGAGATACATGGATATCACTTTTGTAATCCTATTATGAATATTTTTTGCTTATAAACTTAAGCCCTGGTATAGTAGTAACATCTACTGAGAGAAATAATAACTAAAATAGATTATTTTTAAAAGATTAGAAAATTTCTAACGGAAATTGAGACGGCGTAAACAAGCTTAATGGCTAGAAATTTTTACGCCACAGAAATCTAATCGCTAGTAAATCAAGGTAGCAACGAGGCTTTCAAGCAGGCAAAATACCTACCAAAATCTAAAATCAGCTGCCAAAAACTTCTCTTAAATATTCCTTTAAAATATTTTTTAGTTTTTTATTTATTTTTTTTTAGTTCTTAATTTTGAAATATATTTAGTCCCAGAAATATATTAAAAAGAGTGTTAGCCCAGAAGAACTACTTAACACGGGATTTTGCGTTGAATCGCTATAAAAGTCTAGATTACTTTTCAAATCATTGCTACCAAATATTATCACCCTGTATTATATTTAAAGAAACTAAATAACGAAGAATCTGCAGGAATGTATGCTTGTTTCTTGCATTTTGAAAAAAGCAGCGTTACCCAAAACCATTAAATTTTGAATATGGCAGTCCTCGACCCGAACATCCGAACATGGACACCTGGAATCCCGAATTTTGAGTTTCGAATTTGTTTTACTATCTATTTGACATTTTGTAAAACGTTAAGGAATGTTTAATTAACAAAATGATATTCAGTATTTCTATAACCAATATAGTTTTCTATGCCACTGGAGATCCCGTATTTGGAATTTCAAAGTTATTAATTTTGAGACTTCTGGATCTTTGCTCAAATGCGATGGCATGTGTCTTTATTCGTTATGCAAAAAAAAAAAAAAAAAAAAAAAAAAAACATACTAATTCCTCCAGATCTTAGATAGCATGCATTTTAGAGACGCTACGGTGTTAAACAGCATATTTAATAAATTATGGCAGTGTGAATGTCCACACTATTTATCAAATAGCTCATTTCGTTTTGCTCTTTCTTTCAGATAGTATGTTTAATGCATATCAGTTTTTCAATAAAAAATTGCTTACTTACATCTTAATGAAATAGAACTTTTAAGCTTCTTTTCATTCTAATACATTTGCATTTTCAAATTAACTTTATCTGTTGCATTGCATTTTAAGCCATATTAATTGCGCTAGAATTTAAAGTGAAATTCTTTTGAAAGTGTTTTCTTTTTTTCACTTTTTTTTGGGGGGGATTAATAGGATGTTGAATACAGAAGATGTTATAAAATGTGAAAATATCTTTCAGATGTTCCACAGCTGAGCCTGAGACTTGGAAGCAAACTCCGCCATTCAAATATCATGGAGGGTAATGATGTTTATTTCGAGTGCAACATTAGGGCCAATCCATGGGTATCCGAAACAGGATGGCGTTTTGAAGGTCATGAACTTGTAACAAACATATCAGCAGGAGTGATCGTCAGTAATCAAAGCCTAGTGTTGCAAAAAGTACAACGAAACAATCGAGGAAGATACAGCTGCACTGCAACTAATAGTGAAGGTCAAGGAGAGAGCAACCATGTCTATCTTCGAGTGCAATGTAAGAATATTTTCCATTTATATTTAAAATTTCTCAAATTTAAATTTTTAGTACAAAATACAACAAATATCCTTGGGAACTTTACTGTCAAAATTCCTAGCTCTTATTTCTGTTTTAGTCATGTCTGGAATCACAAAGGTTATTCAGAAGTTATTCAATCATATTTAGGAATGAAATAAATTCTGGCTTTGGATTAAAAAACGAATTAAGTTAAATATGTCTATTTTCCTAGGAGCCACATAAATTAATACATTTTTATTAAGAATATTTTCTAACTTTTTTTCGAATTCTTCAAAACTAACGGAGCACAGCTTCAGTAGCTTTCGCTTCATGAACTGCCTTGAAACCTTCTCAAATGCAAGGTAATTCTTTTATAAGGAATTCAACTGCAAATTGTACATTCCTTTTAAATTGAGGCGTTGAAAAAATCAGCTGTAGATAATGGCTGAATTTTGCGTTATTTTTCATTTACTGTTTCGTTGTCGAATCGGTTCTATAGATTCAGTCAGCGTTCTCAATAGAAAGTTGATTTGAATTCAAAACTACTAAAATGTTAGCGTATCTTTTTTAGATCTCCACGAAGTGGAAGTTTCATTACAGATTTTATAGGGCGACATTCAATGCATTACATGCCACACTGTGATACCAATAGACTTGTGAATAATAACTACCTTACAAATAGACTGGAATCTTTAAGGAAATGAACCCCATCATATCTACATTTAATCCAGCAACATTTCAACTGCAGATATGTGCATCTACGTTAAGGTAGGAGACGCATTATCTGTTTAAAGAACCAACAACAAATGACATCCTCTTTAGCTACCCATCAGAAATAATTCCAAGGTAAATAGCCTTATAAATAGAAAAATAGTATAAAAAGAAAGGAATACTTTCGTATAAAAGAAGGAATAAAAAGAAAGGAAAATTATGAATATGGAAACAAACATAAGCTCAGATTCATTTAAACTATAATAAAGCATGCTCGATTTGGTAAACTCTACCGTTTTCTTCCATACCTTCTCGTTAAGTGTTGCTTGCACATTGCAATTAACTCCATATTCTGTATTTCAAAGTAATCATTGGCGCACCTTTTCATTCGCACTTGCGTCTTCAAAAATGCAAGAACCGTATATATACAGCTTACTCGGCATTGCTCAATCTCAGCACCTAAAGCAAGGATGAAAGAGAAAGTGTTGCGGCGATCTTGTGTTCCGATCAACTAACTGCAAATTATATTCAAATAACGTCAATACTATTAGATTGAAGCTTACAATATTATAACGTAACTTCTGTTGTACAATACTCCAACAAGGAAATCTATACATTTTATCGTATGCGTTATATTTTTAATTTTATTTATTATAGTATATATATATAATATATATGATTTTATTTTTTTTGATAACACAACTTGTGTTGTCGAACACACTAATAAGAAAGGACCATATATTTTATCGTATACGCTCTATTTTTAACTGTTTACAGTTAGTGACTTCTTATGAGGAGCGTTTGAAACAAAGTGTAAAATTATTTACATATTTTGACAAACTCGTATTTCGATTCAGTTTCGTAAATGTAGCTGGGTAAACGCTTCATCACTTTTATCTATGCTCATCATTATTGCTGCAATCGACATAGTAATTATCCTAGCCTGAAAAAAAGAAAAAAATACGGCGTGTTTTCTGTTTCATGAAAGTATATGTGACACTTTTCTATTAAAAAAATGTAATTTTCAGAATTCCTTCCGTTCGGGCCACATTTTCTAGACTGAATTTGCTTCATTTCTGTTTAGTCATTCAGATTCGAATAATATAAAATAACAAAGAAAATCCCTATCTTTTCGCACAAACGTTTGTAAACGTATGAAAAATTACCAACTAAAAATACATATGTATGAATATGCAAGTAATCAATATTCTGAATGAAATTTATTTGCGAATAAATAGATACAAATAAAGATTTTTCATGTATTCATTTATTTATATGTTAAATTTTCATTCCGAGAACTAACGATTTAAGCAACAATAATGCGAAATTTTGGAAAGTTCTGGAATATCACTGCATTGCCGAAAGCTATTATTTTCCACAAATTTAAATTTTTTAAGTCCCTATCTGCAGTGTTTCAGCACTAACTTTTTTTGCCATTACATATTTCATAATCATTATATTATTTTGCTTTTCTTTCAGAAACATTGTATGTCTAACGTAAAGAAACCTACCCTGTAAGTATTATAATTCAGGAAACTATAATCTGCCTTTTAACCTAGCTGTATTTTCAACACCATATAACACTAATAACGTCAGTAGTTTGACTAAAATTCTGCGATAGTTAGTTTAAAAAAACATTTACGACATGCCGTAATTTCAGTCTTTATTTTCTAGTATTTTCTAGATTTTCATTCTTACGTTACTTACCTTTACTCAACCATGTCTAGAACTTTATTCTTACCTTTTCTTGTAACAGTTTCTCTGTGATATAATATTTATTTAATTACGGTAACATCACAATAAGAAAATTTCCTTCTGGAGAATATCCCTCAACATTGTCATTAGCACCATTAGTGCTGCAGTTAATTATCTTTATTATAAGGATGTCTTGTTCGGAAGATAAGTGAGAAATTTATAGAATTTTCTTCTTATTGTCATAATGATTTAACACAGTGGTATAAATAATTACGCAGAATGTTGAAGATGATGAAATAACACGTAACAATGCTTTTCTTCAGAGAAAATCTCTTCAGTTCTTGTTACAGTCTTTTGATTAATCAATTACCTGTAACATTTCCTGGAGCAATTTTCTTCCCGAGAATAACTTAAATACTTTCATATTTCTTTTTCTCCCGTTGTTGAATACTGAAGATGCTGTGTGATTGGTATGTAAATAAATAAAGCGAGATTAAATTGCTAAAGTACTACATTAATTACTAATTTCAGTGAATGCGATTCATTAAATCTGATTGGCTCACAAATACAGGCCCTGAAATGCTGAGACTATTCTCTTAGACTATCTAATCGCATTGTTTCCCGTAATCTGAATTTTTTATTATATTTTGTACAAAAGTAGATATTCCATATTGAATCCTTCGATCTGCATTATAATTAATATATACATTAAGAAAAATGCAATTTTATAAATTCATTTTGCTTAATTTGCAATATATCTTATTAATTAAATTCTAGTTAACTACAGAAATTGAGTTATAAAGCAGCATTCCTTTGTAATATTACCAAAAGCATTCAATAAATTACAATATGAAAAACGTTTAAAATATGAGACCATTATCCATTTGGACCACTTTTCAATTAGAAATAAGAGGGAAAAATTGTCGCCCAGACGGTTTAGTGGTTAACATTTCTCGGAAATTCAGGTTTTCAACACAGAACACACTTTACAGAAAAAGATTAAATATTAGAAGATTGTTTTAATAAGCATTGATACTTTTTGTTTTACAACTACAGCTCGTACTTTTTAACTATGAATTTCAAGTCTCGTCCACTAAACTAATCCCACGCTAAATGTATCTGTGCTGGAAAATCTTCCCCCTTTTTTTTTTTTTTTTTTTTTTTTTTTCAAAATCATCATTTTGTTTTAATAGCCCAAAAGAGGCAATTAGTCTCGAAATGGGATTTGTGGTCTATTCGCTATAAACGACGAATCACTTTTTATATAGTTGACACCAAATGTTGTCGACTTGTATTATTTTTAACGAAATTAAATAATGAAGAATCTGCATATATGTAGGTATGTTCTCGCATTGTGATCCTTGAGCCAGCAAATTTTAAATAGCGTAGTCCTCCACCCGAGCATGTGAATCTTGGAGCCCGAATTTTGTATTACGAACTTTATGTTTTCCATTTTGTAAATTTTTAATGAACTTTTGATTAACAAGGGAAGAGGTGAACAAACTCAATGATTTGAAAGCGAGCAGTGGCAACACTGTTCGAAATAAGGCATTCCTATCTCTAGCGCGCGAGACTGTGCATTGGAAATTCTGAAGATATGCTATTTTTAAATATTATGTGATCTTGGGGTGGGATTTGTGTCGAGAATTCTAAATATATGCTGGTTTTAAATTTTTATAATTTTGCTGTTGAACTCTATATTGTCAAAGGGCGAAGAAAACGATGCTTAAAAAAAGCTAAAAAGGCAAAAAGAAATGGGTTAGCAAGAGGTAACTGCGAGCTCAGTGAGAGCGCAAAAAACCTTAACCAGCCCTTTGGGGGCAATCGTAAGAATCTAAAACCTTTCAGATTTTTTATATATTTATTTTTTATTATTTTTTGTTTAATTCTATAGAGATATGTCATTTCATAGTTATTCACTCCAGCTTCTCCAACATTCGAGAAACGGGATTGCATTGCAGTATATTTATTCTCAAACTGTTAATAGATAAAATTTTTCAGCCAGTATAAAAATAGAAATAAGTTTTTTTTTTTCCTTATACTTTGTTTTCTTAGAAAACTGCGCAGCATTAATGAGCTCATCTGCAATCAAAACGTATTATTTTTCTGAAAATAAATAGTACTGATATTGTTTTCATTCTTGATAGAACCCCAATGTTTATTCATTTAAGTTAAACTTTGGTTTTGGGTTTGGTTTATTTGATTAAGGTAAAACACTCGAGGGCTATCTGCTTAAGGGGAAGAATGCCTTCGGGGAGGACTTTCTAAAGGAAACTGTCTCGAATACATGTTATACATGGAGAAAATCAGGAAAACGCCCATGCAGCCAAACCGTTCGCGGGACTCAACTCGGACCGAACTACCAGTATTCAGCGACTTTACCACTCGGCCGCTGGTGGGTGCCTTAAGTTAAGAAGTTGAGACTTCAGAAATCAAACGCATTATTTGTTTTATTCATTCCATTATATTTTGCTTTTTAACTTATTTAGAACTGAACATTTTTGCACTTTATCCTATTTCTCTTAACCATTATGGTAATTAATATAAAACTTGTAAGGTCTTTCATTTTAACGCCTATTACACATGTTATATTG